TATAATATATTAAAGACTATCTTAAATTAAGTTTTAAATTATAACCCCTAATATATCTTATATTATCTCTAGTAAGAGGATACTTAAGGCGTTACTAGCGGTATCTCCGGTCGAGTATAAAGCTATATCTCCTAAACCGGACTCCGATAACGAGAGAGATAAAAAGATTAATATACTAAAAAGTAAGTAATAAAGCTAATAGACTAGCTTAAAAAGTAGATAAAGTATAACGCCTAGATTAAAGAATATCTTATCTAAATATATATCTAGATTATTACTTTAGTATTAGCTAGCGCTATTCTAAGACTCTAGCTTCCTAAAGCTAAGTGCTTTAAAGGAAATCGAGCTAAGCTTTAAGGATTCTTTATCTAGATAGATATATATCTTAATATAAATAAAAATAAACTCCTATCTAAAGTAAATAAAGTAATCTTTATATCTATCTACTTATAAGGATAAGTATAGAGTTAGTTTAAACTATATATCTAGAACTACTATAAGAAAGCCCTATAGGAGTAGTTAAATACTATAATAAGTATCTTTAGTAGCTATAATAGTTTTAGAAAATAGCTAGAATAGATATTTAGAGATATTAATATAGCTAGAATAGCTAAATAGAAATTATAAAAGATTTAATAATATATTTTAGCTTTAATATATATCTTTAAATTTTAGTAAAAATACTAATTTAAAGACTTCTTTTAGGCTTTAAAACGCTACTAATTCGCTACTATTTAAGATAATCTAGCCTAGTTTCTTCCTATTTTTACTTTCTTTTAGTATAGATATAAAGGGTAAAGAGATATATAAGTATCCTTTAATAAAGCGCTAGTAAAAGTTATAAAATCTAAAGAATATTTATATATTATAGTAGATCTAAAGCTCTTTCTATTTTTAGATAACTTATACCTAATTTAAATCTATTTTTATACTATCTCTATTTATAGGCCCCGGAATCTCACCGAGTCGGACACTATTTTCCGGCTCGGACACCATTTTCCTTCTATAGCCGGCTCGAAACACGCCTTTGAGCAGCATCGGCGAGCACAATGATCGGCTAGTTCGGGATCTCGCGGTTCGCTGTGAAATTTCAATGCTGCACTTAGATGGGAAAAAGACCTCTAAAAGGGACATCCAGAAAGGGTCTCAATATAGCTTTTCTTATATCACGGCTAATAGATAAGATCGTATCATACAATTGAAGAATTGAAGGGGAAGTGGAGAGCGAGGCCGTGAATTAGTATCAATGCCCGACCGCGGAAGGTTGTCCGATGTGCGGCTGGATCCCGTACAGTGTCCACGGGTGTTATAGCCAATCGTTCAGGTTGCCAATGTCGCAAGAGAACCCCGGCAGGGCTATCCCGGAGGCTCCCCAGGGCGCTAAGACATCGAATCTCGGGACATCCCGCAGGGCCAGGGCTTGGCAAGAATTATCTGTGCTACATGAACTTTTATCACGAAGGTTACCCAGGGAAGATATGAAGAAAGACTGCGTTGCATTGTGAGCAAAGAACACGGAGAGGAGGGAAGAAGAGAGAGGGAGAGCTAGTTAGTTAGTTATCTGGTGCTGTCTACGTGTGTGGCCTGGCGGATCAGGCAACCAACACCTTTCAAACCATGACGTCCTCTCCCCACCTCCCCACTCCGGTGCCTCCCTACCCCCATTCCATTCGTCGGACATGGATTTGTCTGCGTTCTGCCAAAATAATCTTCTCTATACCCAGGAGTCATTGTCAAGATACAAACCCGGCGGATACCACCCAGTCACCCTTGGAGATACCTTTAAGCATGGTCGCTACGAAATCCATCATAAGCTAGGATATGGGGGGTTTTCGACTGTATGGCTTGCAAAGGACAGAGAGTCAGCTCCTAAACTGATCTATTTTCGCTAAGCCACGGCTAATATGATTCTAGGCGAGATCAGTGGGTCTCGTTGAAAATAATGACCGCAAATGCGTCGGAATCGGGGGAGTTGCGAAACCTGAGGCTTCTCCAAAACCATGCTGGAGGAAGCCTTTCTTCGAAATATATTGTTCAACTGCTTGATGACTTCACTCACGATGGCCCTAACGGAGTCCACCAATGTCTTGTATTCGAATTGCTTGGCCCTACAGTTGATATGGTTCTCAGAGACTATCATGAGGGCCATGATAAGCTCGAGCCGGAAGACATTCTTCGAATGTCTACACAACTCCTGAAGGCTGTCAGGTTTATTCATAGTGCCGGCATGTGCCATGGTGGTAAGAGAGTTCTTTCCTATGGGGGTCTTGTAGTCTGGCGCAGTTGTACTAACCTTGTATCAGACATCAGCGGCCGGAACATGGCATTTACTTGCAATACGCTGTTGAACTCACTCGACAAAGAGTTTTTCGATGTTCTTGGGTTCCCAAAGATCGAGCTGCTAGCCCGTATTGATGGCGCACCTTTAGACAACGGGTTGCCGACCCAGTTGGTTGAGGCAGCGGAATGGGTCGATTGGACTGACGAGGACGTGGAAGATATTCGGCTCCTTGATTTTGGAGAGAGTTTCCTCAAGGGGGAGCAGCCTGAGAAGCTGGCCCAGCCGGATAATTTGCGGGTACCTGAGACGCTCTTCACGGACTGCTTTGATTATCGCCTCGATTTGTGGCGTGCAGGTTGCATGGTATGTCTAGGCCCTTTTCCCTTATTTACTTGTAGCCACGGCACTAATAGAGGCATAAAACCCAGATTTACGCTTTCGTGTTCACGATCTATCCATTTTGGTTTGACGAAGAGGAATATCTGGTTTTCCAAATGATTGGGTTTGTGGAGAGACTGCCAGTCGAGTGGGAGTCTCAGTGGAAAGAAATGAAGACCAGATCTGGCCGTGATTTGGAGATAAAAGAAGGTGAGTAGTGTGATACATCAAACAATAAAGATGTTTCTGCTAATTTGTCTCAAAGACCACGAAATGTCGAAGTTTGAACGCAAGTTTGCAAAAAATGTGCACGATCCAGAGCTTCAGCCTTTATTACCAGTGGCTCAAAGATTAATACGATTTCTACCAGCTAGCCGCATTAGCGCAGCCGAGGCACTTGAGATGTTATGCGACAAAACGCAGGAATAGATGGAACTACATAATGTCATCTACAAATCTAGAAATGGGCTTCAAACAATGGTTGCTGATACAAAGTATAAAGCATATTAGACGGCAATGATCTTCTACCTCGGTAGCAAATACCTCCAGGGCTGCCCAGCTGCATCCATGTGTACTAAACCAGTGTCTAATCCATAAATATGGGGATCCCGAGGTCTGATCCCGATCGGGACCCACCCACAATGGAAGATCCGGGAAGCCGGGACTGCGGCATTCTATTACCGCCACTGCACATTTTCAAGTCAATTTTGACCGGGCTCACCGGCTAGATAATTGTCCTATTTCTGAAATAAGTGTAAAAGAATAAATCATATGGATCGTACATAGGTACTTGAATTTTTAATTGTTATAGGCAAACTATTACAAACTATACAGCAGGCAGAATCCGAGCTGGGCGGTCATACACTGCCGGACCCTCTGACATCATCAAAGTACAGCTAGCCTTGGAATCATATTCTTTTTAATGCTCTTTACCCCATCAAATATTATCCATTTTAATACGTGAACATACGCTGATCCCCCTTCTGCCAATCCTGAACTGCGTCGCTCTAGTTGGCCACACCAGGCCAATCTCCCGCGAAGAATGGAACCGGCATCACCAACTAGGAGACGCAGATCCAGCCACCATGGGTCAATCCGACCGGAGGACTGGCCTGAGGAGGTCAGAGCTTCGCTCTCCCCGCACGGCGAGCGGATGCACATCAATGTAGATCGACGAAATACCGGGGTCAAAGTCTTGAGTTCGTCATAAGTGAAGCGTTACAAACTGGGGCTAACGGTGCGTAGGTGACGGCCGCCTTGATATAAAGATCGACGAGCATATGCCGCATCTCGCAGGGCTATTGAATCGCGTCCAAACGTCAACTGCGCCACCAGAACTTGAGGATCTAGAGGGCAAAGAGACCCCAGAACCAATACCAAAAGATGAGGGCAAAGACTTCCCACTGAAGCTGAACATCGTCATTCAAGTCATCGGATCTCGGGGCGATATCCAACCGTTCGTTGCGTTAGGAAAAGAGTTGAAGGCATATGGACACCGCGTACGGCTAGCAACCCACCTCGCTTTCCGGGAGTTCGTACTTGACGGCGGGTTGGAGTTCTTCAATCTCGGTGGTGACCCCGAGGAACTGATGGCGTTCATGGTCAAAAACCCGTCCCTACTCCCCGCATTCAGCACGATTCGCAGCGGTGCCATCCAGAAACGTCGGCGCGAAATGAAGGAAATCATATACGGGTGTTGGAAGTCATGTATCGAAACAGGGGACGGTACAGACTTGCACCAAATCAAGGAGGATCTCTGGAGCGACACAGTTGACTATCGTCGAAGGCCGTTTATTGCTGATGCAATAATCGCTAACCCGCCCAGCTTGGGTCATATTCATTGCGCACAGAGGCTGGGGATTCCACTTCATATGATGTTCACGTGAGTCCATTTCAGACATGAAACTGAGCGACGCTCTAATGGAAATTTCTTAGAATGCCCTGGTCAGCTACACAGTCGTTTCCGCATCCTTTGGCCGTTATCCACCAGCAGGCCTGCAAGCCAACGGTTGCAAATCTCGTGTCTTATACCGTTGTGGATATGATGATTTGGGAGGGATTGGGAGACCTGGTCAACTCGTGGCGGAAGAAGTGCCTCGCACTAGATCCGTTAGATTCGATCACGGCGCCGAATTTGCCTGCACGCCTCGGCGTTCCGTTCTCATATCTGTGGTATGGGTTGACCCGAAATCGGCGGCTTTGAACTGCCCACTGACTATGGTTTGCTAATTACACTTCGCTGCAGGTCGCCGGCATTGTTGCCAAAGCCACGCGATTGGGGTGAGCACATCGATATTTGCGGGTTTAGTGTGCTACCAGCAAAGTCAGACTACAAACCCCAAAAAGAGATCGATGATTTCCTCAAAGCAGGGCCCACTCCGCTCTACGTTGGATTCGGCTCTATTGTGGTAGAAAACCAAATCAAGCTAACCCAAATCGTGTTTGAAGCGATAAAAAACGCCGGCCAGCGTGCAATCGTCTCAAAGGGCTGGGGAAACCTCGGAGTCGACGGCATGGACGTGCCAGATAATATCCTCGTCATTGGCAACGTACCACATGACTGGTTGTTCCAGCACGTGTCATGCGTGATTCATCATGGTGGTGCGGGTACCACTGCTGCAGGGCTTGCTCTTGGACGTCCGACAATTATCATTCCCTTCTTTGGAGATCAACAGTTCTGGGGAGGAATCGTTGGCGTGGCTGGGGCGGGGCCGACGCCTGTGCCTTACAAGCAACTCACAGTCGAGAAGTTGACTGATGCTATCCAGACAGCGCTGAAACCTTCAACTCGAGAGAAGGCGCAAGAAATAGCGAATAAAATGCGGAAAGAGTCCGGTGTGAAGGATGGGGTACGAAGCTTTCATCGGCATCTCAACTTGAAGACTTTGCGATGTGCAATATGTCCCACTCGTCCTGCTGTGTGGCACATTAAGCATACTTCCATTGGGCTCAGCGCTTTTGCTGCAGCCGTACTGGTTGAAATGGGGGCTATCAGACCAGAGAATGTCGCTTTGTAGGTTGACCTCCAGCAAAATCTTTTCAGACGACTAACCAACTGCACAGGAACCGAGCATCGGAATACGACACATATCGAAATCCTGTAGGCCCTATCAGTGCAGGAGCTCAGGTGCTAGTTGGAGCCATTGCGAACTTTGTGACTGGGATTGGCGAGGTCCCATATGAAGTCGTTTCGGATTTTCTCACCGCCGGTCGTGCAATAGGTCATAGTCGTGAATCTAGTAATGCCTCATCAAGATTTTCATGGAGGAAATCCCGCAGAAGTCAAGATTCAGTCGTGGATAGTGATGAGGAGCAGTATCATGAGCCTGCGGAGTATCATGGGCCTGCCGAGTGCCGTGGACTTGGCCGGTCAAATGACGATGATGATGAGATGAGCCTGGACACAAACGACAATGAGAACGATAACGTGAGACACAACAAAATGAACGATAATTTACCAGCTAGTGCCGCTGGTCAGAGACAAGGCATGCCGGTTGACCAGTCAGAATTGTTGAGCTATATAGAGTCACCCAAGGGCCATGGTGTTGTCTACGAAATACGCACTCACGGCAGTCGGATGTCGAAGAAGTTCTTGAAAGACATACTCTGGCTTCCAACGGATTTGACTCTCAGCTTGTCCAAAGGGTTTCACAATGCGCCGATGCTGTACCACGACCCAATGGTCAAAGAAACGCCGAAGGTTATCAGTTTCCGCAGTGGACTCGTGGCAGCTGGAACGGTACGTCAACCCCGTCCTCGGTGATCAAAGGTTCCGCACTGACCTCTATATAGGAACTTCGCGATGGATTTTACTACGGTGTCACGGGCTTGGTCACGCAGCCTCAGTATGGTGCCAAGCACCAAGGAGCGAAAGGAATGGTCAAGGGAATTGGGAAAGGGATTGGCGGTGTTTTCCTCAAGCCACCAGCAGGTATGATAACGCTATATATCACACAATCGCTATTTCCCCGTGCGTATTTAATTCTGACTCGACTTCCATTTAGGTCTCTGGGGACTGGTTGGATATCCATTGGTTGGACTTCGCAGAAAGCTTCAAAAATCGTTGGGCAGGACTCAGGAGCTTTCTATTATTGCATCTCGGATAGCGCAAGGCATTGAAGATATGCGGGCAGCTACCGCCGATGAACGGGTAGAGGTTGCCAGAAAATGGCGTCTTCTTGAAGAGGAGTTTCGTGTCTCCTACTGAAGAGGTCCTTTGGACAGCCGAACAACACTGCGCACACTATAACTCTTTGACATTAACGGGCACTCATGTATGATAACAGCGGAAGGGTTGAACATATGACGTACATATATGTATTATTTAGTTAAATTCCAACGTTAATAAATCGAATCACGTAAAATAACTAATCTGTTATTCAATATTGTATTTAACGCGCACTTCCCCCTTCCGCAGCTATTGTAAGTAACAACAGGAGAATCTCCCGCTTCTGCGCCTCGCCAATTATCATACACATGGCTGTCGCCATGATCAATTCATACAATCGAGTCTCCCAAATACCCCGCAATTCGCTAACTACAGCTTGCTCGGTCGAGGTAGAAGAATGGCCGTCATCAAGCAGCTTAGCCACCACAGAATCGAAAATCCATAACTCGCCGAATTTCCGGCACGCGAAACTTGGTGTGTATTTCCCAACGAGAATATCTTCGCTCTCAATCCCAGGGAGTCTGGCAATCAACTTCAAATGACTGAACGGCATAAGCCATCTCGCCAATTGTTTCTCCGGGACGTCTCTCGTCCCTTTCCAGAAGAATTCGATATTGGCGTATTTAAACGTATAGCGCCGAGTATTCAACGAAAATGGAGAACTCCAGATGAGACGAACTGCTTCTTCAGCAACAGCTGGTTGTGGTATAGCCGCCCGTGGTGCTTCAGAGTAAGGAGGAGGGCTGGGGCAATGTGATTGTGAATAACCCAAGCTTTTCTTCTCATCTTCAGCGACATTCTCCGTCTGAATGGGATCATCATCTAAGGCTTTCGCATTTTCCTTTCCTCCAAATTCTTCCTTTTCCTTGCGTCTCGCATTTATCTGACGGTGATAACTTTTCCCACTTTCCCCCCACACCCTCCACGTATGGACTTTATACCCTTTCAAAGCACGATCATCGTTGAGAGTTGTGTTGTTTGGGTTACTTCGACACTCCCATTTTACCACGCCTCTAGGATCAATAACATCCTTTAGATTATCGCCGAACTGGATTTTCCAGTTCAGCCAAAGTGCCCCGCACTTTATTAGGCATATTGGCGTTCCGTTTTTCTTGTTTCCGCGGCGGAGAGTACGTGGCGCATTGTGGAATAGCAGACTCGGGTGATGCACAAAATAGCTGTTAGATTCATTGGCTCCGTCTCCGTTTGTGGGGTAATCGACCGCGAGGTTTTCATGTTTCTTCTTGTTGAATCCGAACTCCTTTTTCGGTATGATGAATGGTGTTATTGTGATGTGCTCGTCGCCTTTGTGGTAGACATGCCAGACTGATAGCCGGTGTCGTTTGGACAGTGCCCCGTTGAGGGTTAACATATTCAAAATCTTAGTTCAGAATTGCATGGTCAGTGGTGTGTTGACAAGAACTTCCAAAGTCAGTCCAGCAATGGGATGATTTTGCATGGCAGATATTGTTCTCCAGGGATGGAAGGCATAATATATTTGTTAAATACGAGACAGATGCCCTGCTTTTGCATCGGGCGCAACAGGTGGAGTACATTGAATGATCATCTGATTGGTTTTGATATATCAGAAGCGTATATTATAGTGCTAAAGGGGGCTGTGCAACTAGTGTCCGTCTTGGTTCTTATCGAGTGAAACATTGCTTTCTACTATGCAACAATAGTAAACCATTAGAATTATATTTACTTAGCCAAGCTAAGAGGCTTTTGGTAGACCTGCCAAGACAGTACGAATAAGACCTTGCCTATACCTTCTATAGTCCAGTGCCATTCACCCATCCAATATTCGTTGAAAGAATACCCACGTGTCTATACGATCAATCTCGACCATGATGGCAACGGACACAATCAACACCGTTAGAGTGATCTGGCCAGCGTCAGTGACAACTTCAAAGCCAAAAAGCATTTGTACCACACTCACACAACCCAGTAATATTCCCACAGAATTCAATTCCCAACCTCCAGCATAGATCCTATCCCTAGAAATTGCACTCTGTTGCCCCCAGAATCGATACGCCCCAACCAAAGCGACAAGAATGGCCACACAGTGACACGCGACCGAGAGGGGTGTACCGACCTGAGCAAACCCAAGACGGTCCGCCAACGCTTCTGTTGCCTCCAGACGGAACAGCTGGGCAATCAGCACGCCTTGCTGCGCAACGACGAGGGAGGTCCGGATATACGCGAGGAATGTTCTCTCCAAAGCTGCGGGCAAGAGTCAGTATTTTCCAGATCGGCAAGTCGCACTCGCAGTCGTAATCGCTGGATACGTACCGAAGTAATCCCGACTACTCTTATGTGGCACCGTCAGAGTAACATTATGTGTCCAAAGTTGAGTGAGCTTGTCCCAGGTCCCATTTCGAACGTGTTGGCGGTGCTGGGCTTCAGCACGCGATGAAACAGCGCGTGGTGTGGTGTGACGCGTCACAACGCGATATTCATCACCGGATGAATCAGACGGCGTTGAGTAGATCAGCTCGTTGTCCTCGCGCGTTTGGATCTGTTGGAGCTCGAGCGCTTCGCGGGGATCCAAGTCGTCGCCGTTGTCGCGCGGTCGGGCGTTCGGCAAAGCGACACCCGATGATCGTCTAGGACCAGAAGTTTGAGTAGGGGCTTCTGCCATATTTCTATGAGTGATATCCCGGAGACGGTAGCATGGCTACGGCATGCGCTTTTTACCGTTGTCTAAGGAGGGCCAAAACAGGTTCTCCACGGATTGACGTTGCCCCCGCATTATCTACTCCCTATATACTATAAGAAAAGGATGTAATCGCGAGCTACAGCAATTTCATTCCTGTGTTTAAAAGTTTGACCAATAATAGGCTTTCAGGAATTACCCATCGCATCGATATATTCTTTTGTATGTACGCTTTCCCAAACATCATATCGATTCTAGCCTCTCATCGATATCATGGTTAGTGAAACTCCTGCCACACAAAGCTGCGCCGTTTCGGATATCGCTGCAATCTGTAATTTTATTGGAAAGAGAGATGTTCTAGAACTTCTATGGTTCGGCCTATGCATTCCACGCAGGGCGTATAGGTACTTTCAAGTATATCCATGGTCCGATATCGGCCTCGTTATACTACCTCGAACAACTGCCCCCTGCACGGAGAAAACATATATAAGAGCCCACCAAACTTCCCAATGACCAGAAAATCATCCAAGAATTCACGAGGAACGCAACTCTTAGAACATTCTCACGTGTTGATCAGCTTTCATTTCCCTTGTTCCTAACTGTCATTCCACGCCAAGACGACTTCTCCACTTCCCCACTCTCATCTGTCAAATGCACACCATGGTGTCCAATACCGAGGGTCCTAAAGATCACTGGTCAGCTGAAGTATTTATCCCTCGCAATAATGTGCATGTCCCATAATTAACAAGCTAGGCTTACTCTACCTCTGCATCCTTCGTGCACTCCGCGAAAATCACCGGAAAACTCCTCAGCTCTCTGGACCCCAAGCCAACAGACAAGGTCCTTGATGTCGGTTGCGGAGATGGAAAATTCACAGCCAACTTCCTTCCCGCTATAGCATCCGTCCTGGGCATTGACTCGTCTGCGTCCATGATCGAGTCTGCCAACAAAGACTACGCAAGCGCCAAGGCCAGCTTCCGTGTTGTGGATTGTCGGTACCTGGAGAAAGAAACATCCATTGTGAATGGCTCATGGGATAAAGTGTATGTCTTTAACTATAATGCGTGATACAGATGCATGAACTCGACTTCTAACAGTAGACAGAATCTCCAACGCAGCCCTCCACTGGATCTTACGCGATGAGTCGACGCGCATGTCGACACTCCGCGCAATCTATGACTGTCTGAAGCCGGGCGGTACATATGTGTTCGAAATGGGAGGGCATGGTAACGTTGCTGAGGTTAAGACGGCCCTTGTCTACGCACTGGTGCACCAGGGTATCCCTATCGAACAAGCGAGAGAGACAAGTCCCTGGTTTTTCCCATCTGATACTTGGATGAGAAATGCTCTTGAAGAGATCGGGTTCAAGGTTGAGAACGTCGAGCTCGAGTACCGCCCAACGAAACTCACTACTGACGCCAAGGGCGGCTTGGAGGGATGGGTTAGACTGATGGGAGCCCAGTTCTTGGAGGTGCTCCCCGAGGAAAAGCGGGATGCTGCAGTGCAGCAGATTTGTGGTGTGCTCCGGGATGTGGTTACTCGTGGTGAAGATGGCAGTCAGTGGCTGGGATATGTGCGTCTGAGGGGTATTGCGAAAAAGATCTAATGATTCAGATGATTTTCGTTGCGAAGGGTTCAGTTAGCAGATCGCTGCTGCTTCCGTCGCTCAATCAGAACACCAAGAGGGATGTCTTCCTCATCATAGAATTCTGCTTCCTCGTCCACCCCGAAGTCACGTAGTCTTTCTCCTTCGGCGTTTCGCCAGGACTCTTCCCCCTCGTCTGAGTAACCCTCGGAGTCAGTTTCGGACTCATCGCCACCACTTTGAGCGTAGGCGGCCTGTTTGTACCGATCGTGAAATGGTCTGCGGCGCTGTAGACCCGGACTTCGCTGGAATCGCTTCATATCTTCCTGTTTGCGACGGTTGAAGGCATCAATCTCGTCTTGAATAGTTGCGTATGTAGGCATGTTGATATTACTTGGTGGCCTTGCACTGGCTGGCATCGGGATTCGATCTGGATCTGGGGGTGGCCATGACACTCCAGGATCTAAGAAAAATGATCAGTAACTGAAAGCTAGAATACTGACTCAACTACTCACCCTCAAAGTCATTGGTCTCGAATTCCCAGCCAGACCGACGATCAGGTGTTGCGGCCAGAGGCCAGAACCAGCTTATGAACTGAAGAGACGTTAGCTTCCGTGTTTACATATCTGAAATATCTGGACCAAAAAGGGCATACTCACGTTCGCGCTCCCGCCCATACTTTGCTTGATGTTGGCCCAAATCCCAATGTCGTATGGGTATTCCTGCTTTTTTATGCGAACTCGAATTCCCCCAGGACCCTCAAGATACCCGCCCAGCACACGGGCTCGACGGACAAGAGTAGCATGTCTCTCGATTTCCCAAGTTTCAATAGTGGTCGTGTTAGATGCACTCGCCCATAGGCTCCTAAGTAGGAGGACAAAAAGCGCGAAAGCTGTGAGACTATTTACCACAAGAAGTATGAACAAGTGGATGAGCTGCCCCAAGGTGGGGCCGAGATACTATTCAACATTAGCGACATGAATGGTGAAGTACTTGAGTTACTTACGCTTGGCAGATGGCTGTTCTTCCATACAAATGAGGCACGCTGCCAGAGAAGAGTCTCAAGATAGAACATCCCAACAGTAGCGTAAAATAAAAAGCGCATGAAATGTGGGAGTGTAAAATGCGAGACGCAGTTCGAGGTCCAGGGGCAATGATGATCCATTTTGGGAATGCATCTGGGAGAAGATCAGCAAAAGTCTCCATATCGAGCATTCCCCATCGAACCTTTTACAGGTCTTGCAGTGGTGAGCACGAGGCGGTTTGTAAGCTTCGCATCTAAGACACCATCGCTGGCGACCAGCGAGTGCATCACCTTCTTGCTCTTTGGGTTTCGGTCGCTCTTCGGCCTTGGGAAGTCGACCGGGATCTACAAAGCAGGTTCGGTAATAGCATATCCAGATGCACAGGGCGAAGATATTGATTTTCCAAGTTTCGTCCCTTGTCAGTGGCACAGACTCGAAGTGCAGAAAGAAGTACTGTGATGTGTAGGCGAGGAAGGCGATCAGCACACTGACAGCAGGGATCGCGAGCTTAGTTATTGAAAAGTCCTCGCCCAACATTTCAGCGTCTTCAGCCGTTTGAGTGAGCAAGGCTGAGAGGCTGCCGAGGCATGAAGTTGGACCTGTTGTTTATCAGGACTCGTGGCCGGGACCTGCCCAGGTGTGGCTACGCTGACTAACGCGGCTGTGCCCACTCCTGGATGTAGAACAACATCGACACCGAAAATGAGTCTAATTTGTGTTTGTATTAACAATTTGGAAAATGTATTTGTATATTGGCTAGGTAATAATAAACAATCAAATGGGAACCCTGAGGTTTTCAACAGAAAGTGATATCGGATTATGTAGATATAGGTCAGCTCTCTTCGCGCTAGATTGTGCAAACAATGCAAACACCACAAACAACCATTGGCCCCTTTCAAGTTCTCGGTTAAATACTGAGTGCCAAGAGGAACCTTGTGGTAGGTCATAAGAATCGCAGAGGCGGTGAGACAGCAAGCAATGAAAAGCTGATGCAACGGATAAAGATCCTTACAAAGAGAATACCATGTCAGGCAGTCTTGGCAGATCGACCCCATGTCGTGGCCGATCCGAGAGGGGTTCATCACATGACATACATGTCGACATTGGAGAGACAGATCCCTTATAGTCTGGGACCCCCCAGGGTCCCTCAAAAAGACTGGCAAGAATTAGTCTTGGCACTCCAGAGAATACATTGTGTTCTCCTCCAAGCCATAGTATCTTACCCGGTTGACAGGCCATACACTTGGAAACAGTATACCCTTACAGATAGACAATACTAGGTATTACGGAGGCGTAAAGAAAGAGATATAGAATATCTATAAATACATTATTAACTAAAAACTTTAAATACTTAAATACGTTAGAATAGGAAGAGTGGCTTAGTATATTCTTTAATTTAGCCTACTAGCTAAAATACTAGGTTAGTATAAAATCACTTATATTAAGAAATTTTACCGGAGACCGACTAACTTCTACCCATGTTTATCTACTACGAGGATCGAGACTCCTATAGGAGTGAAGGCTCCCCCAGGCACTGAGGTCACGTTGGCACGTAGTGAGGTCCTCTTTGCAGACTACCCCAAGCTCGTTCTTGTCCTCATCTTCAAAGCCGAGGTCATCCTTTTTCTCGACCGGCTAGACAAAGATGGCCTTTTGGTAGGGCCCGGTCGGGGTGGATTGGGGGTTCAGCTGGAATTTCTTGTTGTTCTACACCCAAGTGCTTCCCTCGCAGCTCGCGGAATTCCGGCAGAGGGCAATGCAATCCTTGGGGCTCTCAATATGGGTCTCCACGGGACCGCCGGAGCTACAGATATCACAGACGTACTTCTCACGGTAGTCCGGGACGATATCCCTTTGCCCCAAGTATGCTGCCTAGTAAATGTTTGCTTGGCTTCCATGTAGGTGCACCTCTTTCATCACATTGCATCCATAGCGTCTCCCTTGCGTCAAAGTAAAATGTTCAGCATGATAACTTGATTTCAGTTGCTTTTTCCCCTTACATGAAGTCACATTTACGCAATAGTGCTTCCGATCTAGATAGTAGGTGCATGACAATGCCAATTATTTAGCCTTGTCTTATGCATCCAGTAATTCTGCGGATTAATGACCAGTAAGAAAGAGCAACGGGAGGTCGTACAGCAGGAATAGCTCTATCTCCACCCAGGATAGGGGTGTTCTATTCAGTGGCTGTTGCTATTTGTTATACCAGGCTTAGACAGTTCTCTGCACATTCACTAAAATTTACTGTTTCTAGTCTTCCTAGCTAGTATTGTGTGATGGATCATAGATTTACAAACAGATTTGAGGTGAGACATTTGAGCAATTTTTTTTTTGCCGGTCGAAATCCAAGGCCGTGTGCGTCTCTGTGGTCGCCA